CGCGTAAAAATAGTCTGTCCTCGGTTGCAACACCGAGTTCCAAACTGCCTCTGGAAGCAACGTCAGCACAATAACTGTTCGTTGGGAGCTTCATGAAATGGGTTTCCATGGCCAAGCAGCCGCACGCACACAAGCCTAAGATCATGCACATTGCCAAGCGTCGGCTGGAGTGGTGTAAAGGTCACCGCCATTGGACTCTGGAGCAGTGGGAACGCGTTCTCTGGAGTGATGAATCACGCTTCACCATCTGACAGTCTGACGGACGAATCTGTGTTTGGCGGATGCCAGGAGAACGCTACCTGCCCGAATGCATAGAGTCAACTGTAAAGTTTGGTGTAGGAGGAATAATGGTCTGGGGTTGTTTTTCATGGTTCGGGCTAGGCCCCTTGGTTCCAGTGAAGGGAAATATTTACGCTACAGCATACATTCTAGACGATTCTGTGCTTCCAACTTTGTGGCAACAGTTTGGGGAAGGCCCTCTCCTGTTTCAGCATGAAAATGCCCCCATCCATACAGAAATGGTTTGTCGAGATCGGTGTGGAAGAACTTGACTGGCCTGCACAGAGCCCTGACCTTTGTTTTGTCAAGTTTACCGACAAATACTGACTTTAAGCATCAGTTGTCAGAGCAGCTTACCGATCACAGCCCATCTGTAATTATCCCACCCAACTACCTCATCCCCATATTGTTATTTACATTGTTATTAATTTTGCTCATTTGCACCCCAGTATCTCTATTTGCACATCATCTTCTGCACATCTATCACTCCAGTGTTATTTTGCACTATGGCCTATTTATTGCCTTACCTCCATAACTTACTACATTTGCACACACTGTATATAGATTTTATATTGTGTTATTGACTGTACGTTTTGTTTTTGTTTATTCCATATGTAACTCTGTTGTTGTTGTTTTTATCGCACTGCTTTGCTTCATCTTGGCCAGGTCACAGTTGTAAATGAGAACTTGTTCTCAACTGGCTTACCTGGTTAAATAAAGGTGAAATAACAAATAAATAAAATAAAATAAAAATTAGCTGTTTCCATCAGGCCTGTCATTAATATTTTTCATCCAACGTACTTTCATTGGATAAAAAGATTGGATGGAAACCTGGTTGGCCTGTCTCTCTCTCTCTCTCTCTCTCTCTCGATCCTCTCATACAAACACCCACACCCACATACATTCAATCACTGTCATTTTGTTCTCTCCCTCCCTCTCTCTTCCCCTCCCCCTCTCCCTCCCTCCCTCCTCTCTCCCTCACTCCCCCCCGGTCTCCCTCCCCCACTCTCTCCACCTATCTCCGTCTCCCTCCCCCCTCTCTCTCTCCACCTATCTCCGTCTCCCTCCCCCCTCTCTCTCCACCTATCTCCGTCTCCCTCCCCCCTCTCTCTCCACCTATCTCCGTCTCCCTCCCCCCTCTCCTCCCCTCTCCCTTCTCCGTCTCCCTCCCCCCTCTCTCTCCACCTATCTCCGTCTCCCTCCCCCTCTCTCTCTCCACCTATCTCCGTCTCCCTCCCCCTCTCTCTCTCCACCTATCTCCGTCTCCCTCCCCCCCTCTCTCTCCACCTATCTCCGTCTCCCTCCCCCCCTCCTCTCTCCACCTATCTCCGTCTCCCTCCCCCCTCTCTCACCACCTATCTCCGTCTCCCTCCCCCTCTCTCTCCACCTATCTCCGTCTCCCTCCCCCTCTCTCTCTCCACCTATCTCCGTCTCCCTCCCCCTCTCTCTCTCCACCTATCTCCGTCTCCCTCCCCCTCTCTCTCCACTATCCCGTCTCCCTCCCCCCCTCTCCTCCACCTATCTCGTCTCCCTCCCCCCTCTCTCTCCACCTATCTCCGTCTCCCTCCCCCTCTCTCTCTCCACCTATCTCCGTCTCCCTCCCCCCTCTCTCTACCTTCTCCCTCTTCTCCCCCCCTTCTCTCTCCACCTATCTCCGTCTCCCTCCCCCCTCTCTCTCCACCTATCTCCGTCTCCCTCCCCCTCTCTCTCTCCCCTATCTCCGTCTCCCTCCCCCCTCTCTCTCCACCTATCTCCGTCTCCCTCCCCCCTCTCTCTCCACCTATCTCCGTCTCCCTCCCCCTCTCCTCCACCTATCCGTCTCCCTCCCCCTCTCTCTCCACCTATCTCCGTCTCCCTCCCCCTCTCTCTCTCCACCTATCTCCGTCTCCCTCCCCCCTCTCTCTCCACCTATCTCCGTCTCCCTCCCCCTCTCTCTCTCCCACCTATCTCCGTCTCCCTCCCCCCTCTCTCTCCACCTATCTCCGTCTCCCTCCCCCTCTCACTCTCTCCACTCTACCTTCCCTTCCCCCCCTCTTCTCATCTCCCTCCCCCCTCTCTCTCTCCATCTAATCTTCCGTCTCCCTCCCCCCTCTCTCTCTCCATCTATCTCCGTCCCCTCCCCCTCTCTCTCCATCTATCTCCGTCTCCCTCCTTGAGAATCTGATCCTCTCATTATCTAGACCTCTCCAGATCGGGACAGTTTGATAAATGGCCAGCTATATTTGCCTTTTGCCGTTATTAGGACACAAATCCCCTGGCTGTCATTCAGGGCTTCTGGTGTTGTCTATTTGTTTTTGCCGATCCTGCCTCTGATGAATGGGCTCAATAAATAAGGAGCTGCTACAGTTCATATATCACAGTGGGTGGAGCTCAACTATTGTATGTGTGTGTGGCTGTACGTTAAAGAGGACTCCCTCAACCGATAAAGACAGAAAAAGGTGTTTATGGGAGATTATTGTTGGAATTGAGCTACGTTTTTTGAAGGAGGCTCTCTTAAACACACAGGGGATGACCGATAAAGAGAACGGATAACCGTGATAATTTTTTTCCTGATGATATTACACTGTATCATTCTGTTATCGGCGCCAAACTAGCTTAAAGGGTAGGAAGCATGAGTTTTTACTCACCAATATAACAACAGTGTGGTCAAAGACTTAGTTGTAGTCACTATCTGGTTACCTGTAAGTACAAACATAGTTAATGTTTTTGGGTTATTACATATGTATTAACTTATTTCTGGATATCTTCTAAACTACCCACAATGCGCTATTTCTCAATGGAGGATCTACTCTGTGCTACCGAGTTCGTATGCTAGCTCGGTAGCTAGCTCAAGCTGGCTAATGTTAGCCACTAGCCATGCTAGCATGTACGCGGAACAAAAATATAAACGCAACATGCAACAATTTCTCAATGGGTGACATGGCTGGTGAGTATGAAGGCCATGGAAGAACTGGGACATTTTCAGCTTGCAGGAATTGTGTACAGATCCTTGCGACATGCGGCCATGCATTATCATGCTGAAACGTGAGGTGATGGGGGCGGATGAATGGCACGGCAATGGGCCTCAGGATCTCGTATACGGTATCTCTGTACATTCAAATTGCCATCGATAAAATGCATTTGTGTTCGTTGTTCGTAGTTTATGCCTGCCCATACCATAACCCGACCGCCACCATGGGGCATTCTGTTGACAACGTTGACATCAGCAAACCGCTGGCCCAGTGAAGCGCCCGCCTCTCCCTTGCTTTGGTAGCTAACTCAGCCTGCACTCTTTTAAACGTTTTACCATCAGATGGGCCCCAGCCATCAATCTGTAAGTCTCTGCTCTCTCTCTCTTTGCTTTTAATCTGCGGTTATGTTTTGGTTGTGTTGTGTTCTAGCCGGTCTCCAGTAGTTGAGCTCTAGCTTGCCAACCATAACCGTAGTGGTTGGCTAGGCTGGCTAGGCAATAGCTAGTTGGCTAAATAGCTAACCTTAGCTGGCTGGCTAGCTAGCTTGCTGGCTAAGATAACTGCATATAGCTAACATTCTTTGATAAATGGTTAGATGGCGTTATGTACTGTATTTCCAAAACTTCGGTTTACTTTAATGTAGCTGTAAGCTAGGTGTTGATAGCAACTGGCTGACTCATGCACTGCTAACGTAACGTTAGTTGGCTGGTAGGGCTAATGTTAGCATGCTAGCAGGGCTAACGTTAGCAGGTTAGTTGGCTAGCAACCTTGCAAGTTGATTTCTAACAATTAATTCAAAAATTATTTGCTTGTAAATTGGCTGAACATTTAATTAAAACCAGTAGTCATGAGTGCAAACGATTTAGTTTAATTTGAAGTTATGCATTTTAAGTTATTTCTGTTAGAGTTTACATTATAGTAAATAGGCTGGCTTGCCGGGTCCTCCATATTACACCAAACCCCGTAAAACATTTTCCGACATGACTTTGTCATTCTTCGGAATTCTGATCAGCTTTATGTAAGAACTCGAAAAATAGAAAAGGGATGTGTAACTTTGCATTGGAACTTTTGATGCATATACTAATACAAATGTATGTTACATCTGGTTATGTTTATGCTACTTACCCTTTAATATGAACCTATTAAAAACGGGCAGAAGCCTACTCTTTGAAATGCAGTGTGTGTGTGTTTGTGCAGTATGTCAGAGTTCAGTGCCATTGTCTTTATGGGATGTGATTGCTGTTCTTGCTTTCAGGTGTGACCTTTTTATGCTGAGAGATTGATTATACGCTGCCGTAGATGTAGTGTTGCTTCCCAGAATGCATAGTGGTCTGAATTACAACAGGGTTCCTTGACACTGTCATTTCCCATCGCAGCGGCTAATGCAATGAGTGACCGCACACATACAGCGATCCAGTCAGAACACTCCCTGCCACCCGTTGGCTAGCTTGGTGAAGGATTTAGGCCTAGATATCATAACATAGTGTTCTGTATTGTGTACAGAATGTGGTATGTTAGTCTTTTTTAGATTTATTTGTAACACAGATGCAAAAGGCAAACAATATTTTACAGTGGGGAAAAAAAAGTATTTAGTCAGCCACCAATTGTGCAAGTTCTCCCACTTTGTGCTCATGTTGGGTTTTTGAGCTAGCGCCCAATAGACTCCCATTCACTCCTTGAAGGAGAGCGCTACTTGTCCCAGAATCACCCAGAATGCACCGCGCGGCCCATTGACGTAGCATGGGCAACGTTTTCCATCTCCTCAAAAGTATGTCTGCCGTTGCGAATGTTAGACTACACTCTGTGGGGAATCTTCAGGTTGAACATGGTGAGATTGTAGACTCATAAATTGCTAGTGCAGTTTGTTTAGGTGATTTTAGAGCTAACTAGCTGCTTTACATGCTGATATTGTCTTTGGTGTTATTGTGTGTAGCTATGTTTGCTAGCTAGCCAGCCAGCCAGCCCATAGGTAGAGCATTGCATTGTGGATTTTGTAGTCGACTTGAGCTGCAACAGAGTTTCCATGTTGCTACCAACCTTATTATAACTCCAAAATGAAACATTTGTTCACAAAAAATATTTTTCTGACATATTAGATGTTATTTAACACTGTAAATTAAAGGAATGAGTGGTTTTGGGTGGATTTTTCCATTAAGAATTGTGAATTTAGCATTTAAAATTTTGCCAGCAATCCTTTTAACTAACGGGCCGACTGCATGCTATATGACACCTACCTTTTCTCTCCCCCATCTGTGTTTCCTGGTAACACCTTGTTCCAGCTGCGTATCAACACTATCTACAATGGAATGCACTTACACTTTTCCTCCTTCCTCTCCGCACCTGTATTCACACTTCCCATGTTTTCCCTTTTCTTTCTTTCCCTTCTTCCCTTTCTTTTCCCCCCTTTTGTCTGCCTGTCTGTCTGTCTGTGCAGGTGACTTCTATTCCCTTCTGTCCAAACTCCTAGGCGAGAGCGAGGGCGTAGTCCACGTGCATAAGTATACGCCCGGCGAGGCGCAGAGTGCCCAGGCGAAGCTGGTGGCTCAGATTGATAGCATAATGCAAAAGAAGGACCTGGGTTGGCCCAGTCCCAGGCTAGACTTCCTGGACAGAGAGGATTCTATACTGGTGAGGGACAGAGTGCACAAGTTTCACCAGTTAGAGGCTACGGCCAGGCCTCCTGGGAGCAAGCTAATGCCAGCTAACGCTAACGCCCTGGTCCAGATTGACGATGATGAAGAAGGTGGGTTTTCCCGGGGGGGAGATCGGACATGTTTGGAAGACGTCTTTTTGCTTTGGCATGTTTCAATTCCAAGGCATGCCCTTTTGTGATATATATTTTTAAAATGTCCATGTCCTCCCATTTCATTGCGCTCATTAATCAGTTATTGTTAGGGTTCGCAATAATAACGCAGTGTTGGCGCTGTGGCCTACATGCTGATGAGACTGGAGGTGTAGCTGGTCCAGGGAAACCTTTAGGCTCTGAACGAACTGGTTCAGATTAAGAGACATGCAGGAAACGCTGATTCCAGACCAGCGTTTAGCGTGCCACTGGAGCATATGTGCCCAATTTCGGCTCAATTCCCAGAGGTGATTTGATTGATTGATGATTTAATTTATTAAGACACATTTTTTTATACATACAGTACCTAAGGGCGCACCAGCCGGTGACGCCGCCACATACAATTTAAGAAAAGCATCCAGGATAATACAATAAAGCTTAAAAGCTTATTTCCATTGTGGTCCTTTTGGAGAGGGGGAGGGAGGGTACAATTTAAAGGAGTTGAAATAAGACTAGATTTCCTGGTGTGCTTCTTCTCCCTTTGTTCGTTACATCCCTCCTCTCTTTGTAGTTTAAAACAGAACTTGCTGACATCTGCAAAAAAAAATCTAATTGAACATTTCGCTTGAGTAAGTTCCCTTACTCAATAATTTATTTTTTTAAATTTGTATTTTTTTGTGTGTGTCTTTTGTACCAACCAGCTGCTGGCGGGGCGGAGCTCTTGTTGTGACTTGCTCAATTCCAGTTTCCATGTCAAATCTCAAAACGACATCAGGAATATGTCCTATCGGCCCACCCGTCCCAGGTCTATCAATCCGCTGTGGAAATCCAATTACCAACACAAACTGGTGTGTAAATTAATTGGATTTCATGCATCTGTGCTCCTGTTTTAAGGGGACGGTGGAGAGAAGACCGGTTGTAGCCCCTTGTTGTCTCCTGGCCAGCCTCTAACCAACTAATTGCCGTTCCTCTCCACATCATACCGTGAATTATTCATACAGCAGAGAGGCTTTCAGCTGTTTGTCTGGTGCCCCAGTCGTGCCTTTGAGTGCAGAAACCGCCTAGGGAAGTTAGCCAGCCAGCGTGGAATGGAGTTGCAGGCAGGGAATGTTGGCATATTGAACATCGACTGGGTCATGTGGTATTTGAAGATGTAAATCTGTGTTTTTCTATGAAAGAGGACTTCAGGGAAATACCAGTAGGATATTTGAAAAGGGCTTATGTTCTATATCACGTCTTCATAAGCACTATGTAAGCCCTGCATAAACACTTTACATAATCATTCATTGCTTGTCATGAATATAGTTGAAGTAAACTTTTTTGTTGTTAATGTGAAACCCTTTTAAGGCTTTGGCTTACCGACTTTTCAACCACGTTTTAAGCACAAACTAAATCCACTCAATGGCTTAAACAATTTTGACTGAAAATGCCATCCCCGCGACATGATACATACTTTTCAATCTTCGATCCGTTTTAATAAGGCGAAGAAGTGAACTGTGGTGTTCTCTACGCCTAATTCTTTATCCAGTGCTGGTGTTTACGTTCAACTGGACGTTTTACCCTTTGACCCCATTTACAGTACAATAATGCCTTCTAGCCAAATGTAGTTCCAACCTACAAAAGGCTCCATTCACAAAGTCTCTCTTGCAGCCATTGACGTTGTTTTGTTTTTATTTATCAGAAGTTTACCGTGTATGTTTTTGGTTGTGTGCGACATGCTCACGCTTAATTATTCTGTAGATTAATATGATTACTTGCATCATTACATGTTATTGCACTCTGCTCTGTCTTATTAGTCCTATAATGAAAACCTCAATGTGGTTTCATTTCATTAGTTAAACTGTTGCAGTTAATTTTTATCCAACGCTACCAATTTCGAAAATGTTTTTTTTGGTCGAGGGCCATAAGACATGCTAAACATAAGCTTTGTCTCATTATGTGTTTACATATTTCTAGTAATGGTCTAAAGTGAATGGAGTCTTCGACCAAGTTACCATACCAACGAGAGAAGAGGACGAGCAGGAACATCAGCTAAATGTGAATAGATTTCAGGCTAATGCGTCAATAGTAGTCAGTAAATGTGTTTACATACACTTCCTTTAGTCTCACTGCAACCTTTTTTTTTTGAGCTCAGCGGCCTATCATCCTCCACTGTCCTCTCAAGCAATTCAAAAATGGTGGCCTGCTGAATGCAGATGTTTTTTTTTATGTTTCTTTCATTTCCCATTGAGGTCAGGATACTTATTTTACAAGGGAGACCTGGCAATGTACAGTGTGTGTCAAATCATTCCACTTTAGATGAATCCACACTATTAGCAGATTATCTAGATTAGGAAACAGTGGGTGATGACGTGAGAAAAGAGATCATTGCACCGCGCGGCTAGGAATCTCTTTGGTTTACATTCACCCATACTATTGAACGTCTTGCCAGATGTCATTTTCCTCTCCTTTGAAATGACCCTGTGGCATTGTTAAGCTGACCACAGGTTCCTGGCGTTCCTCTGTGTGTGTGTGTGTGTGTGTGTGTGTGTAGGGTACCATCTGGAGGAGGTGACGGACTGGCCGGAGAGCCCACTCCAGCTGGGTCAGGTGTCCGGTTTGGCCCTGGACTCAGACGACAACCTGGTCATCTTCCACAGGGGAGACCACCGTTGGGGGGTCAAGTAAGTAGCAATGATGATGTTACATATACTGTTATACTGTTTCACCACTGTAATGTTTGTCTGAGAGAGGACCACTGTCTCCTTTAATTTACCAGAAGATCTCTTAAAGATGCACTCCGGGATCTTAAGCACAACAAATTTGTAACTTATTGCACAAATTGGGTAACGTAGTACACAAAAAAACGGGGACCCGTTTTCGGTAGTGAGCACCACTTTCAAAACTACTAGGCTGAAATTATAAAAACATTTGAGAGTACATCTTTAAAGTTGGGAACCTCTGTTTCAAGAGATACCTGGCAAGAATGTCAGTAAATAAATGTATTACAGCGTGTAGACTACCTAGGCCAAACACAACACAAACAACTCTCTCAAAGACAAAAACTTTTACAGTTTGCATTCAGTGTTTCCCCTATATGCATTGAGCGGCGCACCGCCGCTGCTAAATCGTGGCCGGCACTGCAACAAAAAAGTTTATAATGATTTGGGATGGTAAAATGTTTTCAGTGAAAACTTAAACGACTAAAACCAGATATAAAGTATGTAAAAAGATAATGTAGAAATATATAGATCATCTTTGAGAACTAATAATCACCAAAATATAGCTCAGTTGGTAGTTGGTAGACCATGGTGCTTGCAGTTCAATTCCCAGGACCACCCATATGTAAAATGTATGCATGCATGGCTCTAAGTCGCTTTGGATAAAAGCTAAATGGCATATATTATTATGTTATATATTATAAACTAGACAGACGGGGAGAATCTGAAATTCCCAAAATGTCATAGCATGGGGCCCCCAATGATTTTGTTATAATGTTTGAGTCACTCAGATAGCATAAGAACAAGACATAAGCCATGGCAAAATGTTTATAATTGCAGGAAATTAGTTTTAAATTGAAACATTTCTCTCAGCCCCATGACAAATGTGTAGAATTGCATGAAACTAGCTTTAAAACTGTAAAATTGCAGGAAATTTGCTTTAAAACAGCAAAATTGTGTCTCTGCTGCCAAGAGAAGGGCCTCTAAAACCGTGCATATTCATTGATGGAAATACCAGTTGATGGAAATACATTTGATCAGTCATGCTTATCAGTTTATGGGTTCATTTGCATAATTCCGTGGAATTAAATTTGCCTGTGTGTATATTCCTTATGTATCTTATTTATCACACGCACAGCATACAGATACAAAGCATTTTAGCGGTAGCCAAATGGACATTAACGCGTAGCCTACTGCCTTGTGCGCGTGGCTGTGCTAATAATGTTACGAATTAATCGTTTATCAACATTTTAAGCTAAACGTTCTGATCTGTTGCATCATTATTATTTTTTTTATGTAGCCTAGGCCTACTGGTTGTATGAATTTGGGATCTATCTTCCCACAACTGTCCCAGAGTCTGTTTGGGCTAGTTCTTTCTCGATAAGCTGACCAATAGAATAGGTAAACTTTTCTACTATGAGGGATAGTAGATTGACATAGGCTCTTAGGCGGCTTGTCCATAAGTCTAGGGGAAGCTTTAATTCAAGTAAATCGAATTAAATTGCCAAAATGATATAGCCTAATTAGCCAACTTCTGTCTATACATAAAATAATTCAAAATAGCCTACTAAAGCATGATTTGGCCAGAGGATCATTAGCTTTACCCTAGCCTTAAAATGTTGTGGATTGTTTTAAATCGCATTGCCTACAGTCTGAACGAAAGGCAGCGTGCGCAATTTGGTCAGCGCCCGCGGCCAATACCAAATAGACGATTGTCGAGTTTCGGCTGTCAGTGAAAAGTAGAGAGGCCCAGTCAGGCATATCGCAATATTTCAACATACAATCGCTGGAAAACATAGTTTTGGGAAGCAAATGGCTATTGCTGTAAAGAGAAGACAATGAAAAGACTAATCTGTCTTTTAGTTATCAAAATTCTCAACTTACTTGAGCGAAACAGTATAGCCTATCTTATTGGGACCAGCAGAGAGCATCGGCCATGTCCCTGGTGAGTGCGCACTGTGTATATTCACTCTATATCATTGTTGGGTCAGTGCCACTTAAAAGGTTGTTTTTGGACAAATCATTTCCTCCTCCAGTTTCGATGGATGTCATATTCTATTTGAGTCTCCCCTTCTTGTAGGCCTACTATATTGATTGTTTGTCAGTGTCAGCAGAGTAGGCTACCCTGTCATTTGTCGTATTCAAAAAGATTCTGCTAATGTCTCCAGTCATATGAAGTGTAGTATAACTGCATGAAACGTGTTATTCCTGTGCAAAGAAAGAAGAAACGTATCTGAAATAGCCTATAGCCCAGACCTCTACACTCTAGGCGCTCAGCCATGCACTGAATGTTTTTTTTTTTTGCGAACAGTGATTGACTTATATGGTTAGCCTAAATTGTGACTATCCAATATACTCATCACATTAGGAATACCTAAGTCTGCACCGACCGGCTCGATTCGGTCTTATGTAGTAAAATTTGAAAAGGTGTTTTTTACATTGGAGAAAAGTAGAGACTCAGAGCTAGAAAATGGTATATCATACACTACAGTTGAGGAACAATGGGAAAGTAATTCTGCTTTGAAAGTTGATAAACTTGTAACCTCACTTTTGAGAAAATTGCCCTTGAATGTTTTGGTACACCTACTGGAGAGCTCTTCTTTGTCTACACTCATTCAGCATCGTTCACACACTCTTAAGCATTAGCCCCACTCAGCTCTTTAAGGATTCACATGTGAGGTCATGTACTAAACAACCAAAGATTTCAAGACTAAAGGATGGCTTATACTACAGGTGTGTTTGTAAATTTAATTTGTTGTGCCAGAGTATGCTCTGTTCGTTTGTAAACTCAGAGCATTGTCAGATTGTCTGTTCGTAAAATTAGAGTGTTTCGCTCTCGGAGCGTTCAGAGCGCACACTGGACGCTTTGGCCGAAAAGTAGGGTTGATCCGAGCGTTCTGTCCTAACAACAGCAGTCAAGCACCCAAGCTAACTGGCTAACGTTGGCTAGCTTGCTAGCTACTTCCAGACACAAATGAGAGAACAGCTCACTATGACCATTTTACTCGCCCTAGCAGAGCTGGTTAGGCTGTTTTTATGTTATCCAGAGCATTGGTGACTGCAACTGTGCTGCTGGCAACAATTTAATTACACTTTTTTTGCCAACGTTTACTGACACTGGCCATATTCAACAGGTGTTGAGCATTTGTAAATGTGTCAGTTATTCTGCACTCTGGCACACTCAGATGAGAGTGCTCTGAAATCGAAGTAGATAGCCAGCTATGTCTATCGACAGTTGTCGCAGTGACATCATAAACATTCTATTGAAATAGTTAATTGCATAGTGGAGTCTTTTTTTAGACATGTAGCTAGCTAGCTAGCTAAACAATGAACCATAATCCCAACTCATAACGTTAATACCCTGCATGAATCTGCAGGTAGCTAACCAACTAGGTTCAATGTTAGCTAGCTAACATTAGGCTATAACTAGCAATACAAATGGCTCAGAGATACGAATAATATTACTACACAGATCATACACGTAACGTTAGCTAGCTAGCCAGCCAGCTAACATTAGCTAGCTAGCTAACAGTACACTTTAACTTGAAATGAAAACGACTTTCTGACAAAATTTGAAATGTGTAAACTCTCAAAATGTACAGTTGAAGTCGGAAGTTTACATACATTTAGGTTGGAGTAATTAAAACTCGTTTTTCAACCACTCAACAAATTTATTGTTAACAAACTATAGTTGTGGCAAGTCGGTTAGGACATCTACTTTGTGCATGACACAAGTAATTTTTCCCACAATTGTTTACAGACAGATTATTTCACTTATAATTCACTGTATCACAATTCCAGTGGGTCAGAAGTTTACATACACTAAGTTGACTGTGCCTTTAAACAGCTTGGAAAATTCCAGAAAATGATGTCATGGCTTTAGAAGCTTCTGATAGGCTAATTGACATCATTTGAGTCAATTGGAGGTGTACCTGTGGATGCATTTCAAGGCCTACCTTCAAACTCAGTGCCTCTTTGCTTGACATCATGGGAAAATCACAAGAAATCAGCCAAGACCTCAGAAAACAAATTGTAGACCTCCACAAGTCTGGTTCATCCTTGGGAGCAATTTCCAAACACCTGAAGGTACCACATTCATCTGTACAAACAATAGTACGCAAGTATAAACACCATGGGCCCACGCAGCCGTCATACCGCTCAGGAAGGAGACGCGTTCTGTCTCCTAGAGATGAATGTACTTTGGTGCGAAAAGTGCAAATCAATCCCAGAAATACAGCAAAGGACCTTGTGAAGATGCTGGAGGAAACACGTACAAAAGTATCTATATCCACAGTAAAATAATAATAAATAATATGCCATTTAGCAGACGCTTTTATCCAAAGCGACTTACAGTCATGCGTGCATACATTTTTGTGTATGGGTGGTCCCGGGGATCGAACTCACTACCTTAGCGTTACAAGCGCCGTGCTCTACCAGCTGAGCTACAACTGGCTGAGGTGAGACATAACCTGAAAGGCCGCTCAGCAAGGAAGAAGCCACTGCTCCAAAACCGCCATAAAAAGCCAGACTATGGTTTGCAACTGCACATGGGGACCAAGATCGTACTTTTTGGAGAAATGTCCTCTGGTCTGATGAAACAAAAATAGAACTGTTTGGCCATAATGACCATCGTTATTTTTGGAGGGAAAAGGGGAACGCTTGCAAGCCGAAGAACACCATCCCAACCGTGAAGCACAAGGTGGCAGCGTCATGCTGTGGGAGTGCTTTGCTGCAGGAGTGACTGGTGCACTTCACAAAATAGATGGCATCATGAGGAAGGAAATGTATGTGGATATATTGAAGCAACATCTCAAGACATCAGTCAAGAAGTTAAAGCTTGGTCGCAAATAGGTCTTCCAAATGGACAATGACCCCAAGCATACTTCCAAAGTTGTGGCAAAATGGCTTAAGGACAACAAAGTCAAGGTATTGGAGTGGCCATCACAAAGCCCTGACCTCAATCCTAAA